GCTCGCGCCCTTTGTCTCCCTCCACGCCAACGCCTGTCCCAAAGACGCGACAGTCTTTCTTCGGCGTCACCCCATACTATGTGTGCGTCGCCCCTTCCAGGGGCGACGCGTGCACCGTGAAAACTGATAGTATGTGCTTCGTGGCGGGCGCGTTCTGGCCGTACCGCTCGGGAAACGATCTACTACAAGAGGATTATGCTATATGTTCGGGTCGGACGCACGCCTCCGAGGAGGACACATAGCACAAGTATGTCCTGGTGCGCCCCGTTTTTCGTCGCCCAGAACAACCAGATCTGCTGCAGCCTCCTTTCTGAGGTTGCCGCCGACCCCCCTCGCTGCTTTTCCTGCGAGGGCGCCGCGCAGGCAGGCGCGCGCCACCTGGCGCTGGAGCACGGGTGGGGGAGTCCCAGGCTACCCCCCACTGGATAGCAAGAAGACGAGGGGGCCAGTGGCGCCGCGATCTCTGGCGGATGCCAGCTCGTCGGGGTCACTGGAGACGGCCGTGCTCCTCCCCGACTGCCGGCATCGGGGCCCGCGCCCTCGTCCTTGAGACTGCCGTGGCCTCCTCTGACGGTGCACCCATCGCCCTCATCAGGGACCGCGCCCCGCTTCCGCCGTCTTCTCGCTTCGAAGACGCCGTCGCCCTCGGTCATCGCTCTCCGCGCGTGTTACCTGATGCATTCCTGTCCCTTGACGTTTCCCTCCTGGGGCGACCGCCTCATCTGCGGCCTCTCCCAGGAAGGCGTTGCAGGGCTCCCAGACCCCCAGTTCCTGGGTTTCAGTGGCCCAGGCGGTCTCAAGTGCACGCCGATGCGGCGGGGGGCAGCCCTCCGCCTGCCTCCACGCCCCCCCGCAGCCAGGGAAGCAGCCAACGCGCCCTGCGCCGCCTCCAGCGGCACCGTGGGCGGGACTCCGCCGCCGGTCCAGCGCCCCTTTGACGGCCCCGAGGCCTCCCCGAGCAGCGACGTCCACGGGTTCCTCGATCCCCAGCTGCCCTCCGGCGAGTCCACCGCCAAGTCCAGTTGCTGCCATCCCGACGAGGCTGCAGAGGTCACCATCCTCCTGGATACGGCGATGCCTCTCATCGGCAGCGAGCTCACCGTCGCGTTCATCACCCCAAATTGGCTCCAAGCCACGGTCCCCGACCACGGGTGGCCTATCGGTGGCGCAACCGCCGCCCTCTGCGGGACCGCCACTCCTCAGGCCTGTGGGCGCTCAAGCGGTGCATTTAGCCCGCTTGCTGCCGTCCGCGGCCTCCTCGGCCGTTGACCTAATGTCAAGGTGTATTCAGTGGACAAGGTGCAGGGCGACGAGGCTCACCTCGTCAGTGTTTCCTGCGTGTGCTCCAACGCTGGCTTTGACCTCGGGCACGCTGACTGCGCTCGCCGCATCAACATCGCACTCACGCGTGGCAAGAGCGGTTGCGTTCTCGTCATGAACGCCAGTATTGCAAAGGCCAGTCAGGACGCCATGCTTGTCGACCTTGCTCGTGTCGCCTCCAACGCCGGGCTCTTTGTGTCTCGGGCTTCCTCCGTCGACTTCAACCTCGGCCCTTGCGTGGCCTTCCAGCCCGATCGCCTCCGCGACGCCTGGGTCTGCCAGGAAGGCGCTGCGCGCGGCCGCCCGGGACGGCTCAGTGCCCTCGCAGCAGGAAAGACGTTTCTGGTCTCTCCGCGCTGGCCCCCTCCTTCCCACTTCAGCCCCGCCCAGGTCTGCGACCAGTAGGGCCAGTGGTTCGACGAGCTTGTCGCCGGCCTCGCCTTTCAACCCATCCTCGCTCTGGCCCTTCGCGTGCGCCCGCACTGTCTCAACTATCCCAATCCTCCGCCCGGCCCCGCGGACTTCGACCGCTAGATGCTCTCCAAGGTCGCGCAGAACTTCCACCCCATGCTCGGGTGCGTTGCTGGCAACGTCGTGCTCGCGCGGGCGGCACGGGTTCCAGCGTCGCTGTGGTCTCGGCCCCGGCCCCGAGCGGCAGGTCTCCGGCGACCTCGTCCAGGCCCTCGCCATTCCTCGCAGGGTAAGCGACGATAGCCGTCGGGACTGTCAGTCCTGCCGCAGTGACCGCAGGCGCATCGCCTTCGTTCTCACCGATGCCGCGTGCATGTGCTCGCTGTACCGAGGGGGCCCCCTGGTCGAACTCGCGCAGCTCCTTTTTTCTCCTCCGCTCAACCCCTGTGCTCATGGGGTGCTGCCGCTCGAGCTCCGCCACGCTCATTTGGTTCGTGGCCTGCCCGGACAGGCGGCCCTGCGGGAGATCGACGACTCCGCTATCCCCATCGGCGACTTCAGCCACTGCGGCGACTCCGTCGGGGTTATTTTTGGTTTTGCTGCCCCCGATCACGCGGGGGTCCAGGCGCTTCGCGAGCGGGCCCTCGCTCGCTGCTCCATCTCCCTGGGCCACATCGTGGACATGCGCGTCGCGATTGAGTCTTCCCTTGAAGCATCCGTGCGTTTCGTCGTGCGCGCACCTGGGGACGGGGAGGTCGCGGAGCTGAAGGCGCGCAACCCGCTCACCACTCATAGCTGGCGCGATTCTTGCCCCGGGTCCGCGCCCTTGCTGCCGCCGTGCAGCATCTCCCGCCCGCGATCACGCCTGGCCCCCTTGCCGCCGCGCCGTTCGCTACCTGCCAGGTCTGCCTTGTGCGCGAAGCCGCGGGCGTCGTCAGCCCTCAGTTGACGACGCCCGCGCCTTCGCGCGCCCTCAGGCCGCGCCGCGCTTTCACTGCCCTCCGTCGGGCCCGCCGCCGAAGCCGAGGCCGCCGCGCACGCCGCAGTGCCGCCTCCAACGGAGCTGCGGGGCCCGCAGCGCCCCCGCCTGCGGTCGTGCTCTACGACGCACTCAAGTCGCTGGGCCCCGTTTCCATGGCCGCCATCGTCGCCCATCTTATTGGCCGCAGGCAGCGACGTCGGCGAAGGTTGGCTAGGCTTCGCGCGCTCTCAGCTTGGCGCGCTCGCCCAGCGCGGATTCGCCCGGCCCTTCCGCGCCCCCGGCAACTTCCAGTTGCGCTACGCCAGTCCCAGGCGGATCTTGGCCGCGCAGGGGCGCCCGAATGCCGGGCGACTGGCCCCCGCGCGACTGGGGCCTCTGTCTGGCTCCCGTGGCCGCTTGCGCTTCGTCGGCGCTTGCCGAGGCCGGGGCCGCGGGCCACCCCCGGCCTCGGCCCCGCGAGCAGCGCAAGGGGCGACGCGGCATCCCCGCCGCTGCCAGCGCTCCCGTCGCCGCGGTATCGTCTGCTTCCCAGGCCGCTTCCTGGCCTGCGCTCCCCGCGGAGCTCGCCGCCGCCCTTGGCGGCCTCTTGCGCCCGGCCTTCGTCTCCATCGCCGAGCATGTGGCCGGGGCCCAGGGCATCGGCGCAGCGGGGCCTCCGCCTGGGCGGTCGACCTCGTCGACAACGCGGTGCGCAATTTCTTTGTCGATGCGTGGGTGGCGCGCGGTCGCCCAGACCTGTGTCGGTGGGGCTTTCTCCGCTAGTGGGGGGCGGCGCTCGACCCTGCGCTCGTGAAGCAGCGTCGGGTCCTCCTCTCCGACGGCCCCGACTGCGATGCGGACCTTCCCATCGGCGGCGGGCGTTGCAGGGGGTGGCCGCGGCGTGGCGGGCGCCCCCGCGGCACGGCCCGACCTTGGCGCTTCCCTGCCACCCCCGCCTCCCAGGCGCCCGCCTGGCAGGCGCGGAGTCGCCGCCCCGCCGCGCGGGGGGCAGTCCCGTGGGGCGGCCCCGGCTGTCCCCCCAGCTGGCTCTGGCTCAGCGCAGCGCGCTTCTAGGCCCAGAGAAGACCTAGGCCCCGTCCTCCCATCATCGCGCCTGCGCGCGGTGCAGTTGACCGCGCTGCGGAACTGACCGATCTGCAAATGGCTATCCACGTCTACAGCAAGTTCGAGCTTCTCACACTCGTCGCGCGACTGGCTGGCCCCGGCAGGCGCGGCGGTCACCGCCGAGTGGAATGCTGCTCGTGTCGATGTTTCTCCGCGCCCGCCGCGTGATCGCTGCGCGCTGGATCGACTCAGGCCCCCCGCCCATCGAGGCTGGCGGCCCCCGGGCAGCTTCGCGAGGCCGTGGGCTTATCGCCTCCTCCGCTGGCGTTGCCCCGCGGGTCCGGGACTTCAGCGGGCCCGGCGTGGCCGGCCCCCGCTGGCTCGCCGCCGAGCTGCCTCAGGTCAGGCATTTGGGTTCGCGGCGGCAGGGGCGGCGGGGGCCGCGGGCGAGCCGCCGCGCCAGCGTGGCGTTTCTAGCTTTTTGTAGCGCCTCGCCGACGCTGATTGGCCCCTCGGGCCCGCGACGGCGTTCGGCTTCCACTTCCAGCCCCGCCGGCAGCGAGCGGGGTCTGAGCTCGGGCGGCCGCTCGAGGCAGGTCGTCGGCGTGCCCAGCAGCCCTGCGGCCGCCCCAGTGGCGGCGCTGGCGATCGGCCCCCGCCCCCGCTAGCCAGAACCACGCGCGTTTCCTTTCTTGCCGTCGGCGTCCGCCCGCCGCGAGGACGGTTCTGCTTCCGCTTGTCCTGGCCCCGGGCCTTTCCGCGGGCCCACTTCCGAGGCCAGTTCGCCGGCGGGGCGCCCCGCGCCCGCGGCGAGTTCGCGCTCCCGCGCATCTTCCCCCGAGCGGCGGGGCAGGGGGGGCCGCGCGAACCCTCCGCCGATCCCAGCTGCGACGGGGCGCCCAATGATGACGACGACAGCCGGCCGCCAGACATGCCCGGCCCCGCCCGTGGCCCCGCTCGCGTCGCCCAAACTCCCATCGATGTTATCGAAAGGCGACCTCGTGGCTGCGGCGCACGCGCGGGTGCAATCTGTCTTCAGTCAGGCCCAGCTCTGGCGTGGCGCGCCTGGGCGCGCTCTGTCCATATGTGGGGGCCCCGCGATGTGCGACGTCGCCTTTCCGCGGCGCTTCCCCCGCGCCTATGGTTGCAGGCCCGCGCGGGGCTCCGATGGGCCCGCGCGCGTGCCCGCTTCTGGGCGGCCCGACGGGCGCGCGCTGGCCGGCGCTTTTCCCATCCGCCAGTCTGTTGAGGCGCGTCGACGAGATGCGCCGGGCCATGGGTGGGCTCTGCTCGGGTGGCGCCGCGTGGGCCGTGGGCCCCGCCGTCGAGCTTGCACCGAACGGCGTGGCGCTCGCTCGCCGCGCGCCCTGGGGCGCGAAGGCGCCCGCCGACCATCCCTTCCTTCGGGGCGCGAGGCCGCGGCCGTGGGCGGCCCCCCTGCGCTTCGCGCCCGCCGTCTCGGCGGCGGGGTCGGTGAGCTCGGGGCGGCTGAGGGCGGATTTCCTGCCGGTGGATCTCGCTCAGCGCGAGCTTCGCGCCAGCGGCCTGTGTCTCGCGACTTTCCGCGCCCAGTGGGGCACTCCGCGGCCGCGGCTCTGCTGGCGCGCCCCCCGACGAGACCGTTGCCTTCCTGGCGGTTCGCGCTGCCGAGCCAGCCGCCCAGGGAGGGGGCGCCGCGCGCTGGCCTGCAATGTCCGCGGGTGCTGCCAGCCCTGTCGCCCTGCCGCTTGGGGGTAATTGCCCCGGGCTTGTTCAGACGGAGCCCGGGTCCTGCTCGGGCCGCCTGCCCGCGGGCAGTCGACCGAATGGCGCGCGCGTTCCGCCCCCCGCGTGGGCGCCGCGGCCTCATGCGGCAGCGCGGCGCCTTCCGACGCCGCGGTTCCCGGGGCCCCTCCCAGGCGGCCCGCGGTGCCAGAGCGCCGACTGCGTTGTGCGTCCGCCCCGCCACCGCCCCCGCTCCCGTCGCCGCCCCTCGGGCAGCTTTGCGGCGATGGCCCCGTGCGCGGTTCGCCGGCGGCCGCGGGGCAGCCCGGCGCGCCGGCGCTCCTGGCGCATCTCCCGCGCCGCCGCCGCCAGCCCCTGCCGCTCCCGCTGCCGGCCCGGCGGCGTGGTCGCGTTTGGCCGACGTGCCTCCGCCGCCCCCGTTCGCGCGCTTCGCGCCCCAGCCCAGCTCGCGCGCCTGCCGCGCCAAGTCGCGCCCCGTGCGGCGCCGCCTCGCCAGGCAGGTCGCTTCCTTGCATGTGGGCGACTGGCGAGGGGGGCTCGTTGCCGGCGCTGGTCTGGCTGACCAAGGGCCCACGGTGCGCCCGCTGTGAAGGCGCCGCGCCCAGCGATTTTCAGTTAATTATCGCTTTTGGCGAATTCCTCGACAGCGTGCCCAGCGATGTCCTCGCCCTCGCCCTCTCGCTTGCTCCCTCGTGCCCGGGTTTTCTTTTGCTGGGCGGCGGAGGTGCGTCCTCCCAGAGGCGACCCGCCTCTCGCCAGGGGAGGGGGCGGGGGTGGCGGGCCCGGCGCATGGCGCGGCCTTGTCATCCTTCAGCGCTGGGCCCGCGCCGATATCGGCGCCTTTCCTCCCTGCCGGTGCCTGCGCCTTCTCCGCCCGCCTGGTTTCCTTTCTTCTCGCCCCCCGTCTGCGTCTGGGCCTTGCTGGTTTGTTTTCTTTCGTCCTCGGCTGTCTTCCGCGGCTTTTACCTTACTCTCCACCCGTGCGCCAGGCCGCTTTTCGGTGTCATTGTCCTCGTGTCGCCGTGGGGCAGCTTCACCGGTGTGCAGTTTTGTCTTCGTTGTCCATGCCTGGTCGGTTTATGGCGTTCTCCTGCTCTCATGCGGTTGTGGTGAATCTTTCCAGCATTTTTGCGTGCGCCCCCCTTGCCATGTGTGCCAGGATGGCCGATGCTGGTTGGTTTACATCCTGGGCGAAGTTGAGGGCCTGGCCGCCGCGCGCGGTGTGCTGGCTGTTGCATTTTCTCCTCCTCGTCGCTGCGCGCGTAGCCGCTACCGCCAACTTATATATATGTATATACATATATACATATATGTACATACATGCTCATATATACATCTGTATGTGTGTATATATATATATATATATGTGTGTGTGTGTCTGTGTGTGTCTGTGTGTGTGTGTGCTTGTGTGTTTGTGCGTGCGTGCGTGCTTGCGCGCGTGTGTGTGTGTGTGTGTGTGTGTGTGTGTGTTTCGTGTGTTTGTGTGTGTGTGTGTGTGTTTTGTGTGTGTGTGTGTGTGTGTGTGTGTGTGTGTGTGTGTGTGTGTGTGTGTGTGTGTGTGTGTGTGAATGTGTATGTGTGTTTGTGTGAGTGTGTGTGTGTGTGTTTGTTTGTTCATGTGCGTGTGTGTGTGTCCAATATTTTTTTGTTAAAAAATAAATTTAGGGTTGTGTTACGTCCTTTTGCGTTGTTGGTCTGTAGGTATGCACTACCACTCAGCTTCGCAGGACACTTGAATGAACTCGGCGATGTACGCCACCAATCAGCTGGTCTGACAGCAGTTACATGTTATTTTGTGTTTCGCTGCCTAACCGTTGTGGCGGTGATCCAGTGGCTGCCAATTTGCTTCAGACTGCTCGCGCTTTAGTTTACTTCGAGTTGAGCCGCTTCCTTCGTTTTCTGGCCGCTACCCTCTTGTTCGCATCTGCAACACTTCCTTCACACCACCCTTCGCTGCTTTGACAATGTGCGCAGTTTGTACGTTGTGCCCTCGACAGTGTTCGATCGGAATTCGCACT